TATGTAAATGGTATTATGTAACCTGCGTTTGTTCATTTGGGAAAGTTTTGATGTTTTTTGTTTGAGGTACCTGTTAGGTCTAGTTTGCAAGAACTGTACCTTTTACTGGGCGAAAACTTTCATTATAGTCCCTTAACGACTTGTTTGGTTGGTTGTAATGGCTGCTGCAACATGTAATGCTAAGATATTTATGAATTGGTCAAATCAGAAAATAAGAGTTATAAAGCGAAGACTACTGACTGACTGAATCAAATATTTGAGGACTTAATTGATTAAACCAAAAAATAAGAGTTAAAAGCAGAAGAAAAGTTGTGTTTTATTATAATTATTTTCCTTTGTCAGGAACAAAGTTGTAGTCTAATTTGGACTGCACGCATAATTTTTTTTTTTTTTGAACAATGGGAATTTTCTTCGGGGGGATGAGGAAAGGGGGATTTGGGATTGAATCCAAGTTCAACTAGTCTTAAAAGCACGTCTTGCCTTGCAGAAAGGCCAGTTGGTCTCCAAGTGCTAGATGGACTGCACGCATAATTTTTTTTTTTTTTTGAACAATGGGAATTTTCTTCGGGGGGACGAGGAAGGGGGGACTTGGAATTGAACCCAAGTTCAACTAGTCTTAAGCACGTCTTGCCTTGCAAGGGAAGCCAGTTGGCCTCTAAGTGCAGGACGGACTGCACGCATAATTAGACTGATGGACTGCGATAATGTCATTAGACCGCACTATTTTTACATGGCCTAGGTTGAGAACAGATTTGACTCCAAAAAATCAGTATAGTTTTATTATTAAAATATTAAGAATAATAATGAGAAAATTTTAAATACTCTTAATAAATTAATATGTAAAAAAATTATTAAAATATTTAAGTAAATTTACACAGTTGTAATATTTTAAATGTTAAAATATTTTATTTTTCTTTTTTCAAAATAGATTATGTTCCAAATCCAAGAACAGAAAAGTTTTTTTATAATTTGACCTGCAAAAAATCAGTCCAATAGGGGAAAAGTAAAAAAATACCCATCATAAATTATGGGTGCATGAGTTATTGTTAATGGCATTTCTATCTCTTAAATGTAAAATTGAAATATTATTTTTTAATATCTTATTATTAAAATGAAAAGTAAAATAACTAAATTAAACCACCCATATTTAAATCATACTAGAGTATATATATATTTTGTTTGTGTACAAAATTCTCACAAGGGTGCTGCTATAGGGACCAAAGGTCTCTTTTAACTTTTTTATTTTTCTTTTAAATTACTATAAAATTTTTTTTTCTCATTAGTTTTTATTTTTATTTTTTTAGTCTCAATTGACTTTTAATTGGACTCACAACCCTAAAATAATAAATGCTATGCTGTAAACTCTAAATACTAAATTTTAAAATTATAATAAACCTTAAACATTCAAAATACTAAACTCTAAAAATTTGAACCCTAATATCTTAAATATTAAACCTTAAAAATCTGAATCTTAACATCTTAAACGTTTAATCCAAAAAAAAAAAAAAATCTAAACTCTAACCCTCTAAAATATTGAACCCTAAAAAATATAAATCATAATATCATAAACATCAAATTTTAAAAAATCTAAACCATAAAAAAATTTTAATCCTAAAACCTTAAACCTTAATTAAACCCTAAAAATATAATCTAAACCCTAACATTACAATCACTAAATCCTAAAAAATCTAATCCCTATCTCCTAAATTAAAATAATCTTCTTTAAATTTAATATCAAAGACTTAAATAATGTCTTTTTTTTTTTAACAAATTTGCAAGGTCGGATTCGAACCGTTGTCCTGAAGTAGGGAGAATGTATTTATATGTGACCTGACGTTACTGAATCCAAAGTGGGACTTAAATAATGTCTTTTTTTTTTTTTACAAATTTGCAAGGTCGGATTCGAACCGTTGTCCTGAAGTGGAGAGAATGTATTTATATGTGACTTGACGTTACTGATCCAAAGTGGGACTTAAATAATGTCTTTTAAAAACAAAGACTTAAAAATTATAATCCCATAAACTTTAACCCTTATAAAATAGAAATTAGTTTTGCACTTTCTTAGATCAAGGAATCAAACGGACATGGCAATCTTACGTCCGCCCGGGCTTCTGTCGGCGTAAGGAACATTCTGTCACAGTAGCTCTACTCTTTTTTTTTTGGTAGAACAGTAGCTCTACTCTTCTCACAAATAATAGTCAATAAATAAGGCCCCACTGGTACTTGAGCTTTTGGGCCGATGACATCAGATTACGTACAACATTTAAGTACATTTTTTTTTTCTTTCAAGCTATCAATTCGAATCCAAACTTTTGTAAATTTGTTAAAAAAGAAAAAAAAAAAAAGCCCTGCCGTGTTGGTTTATACTTTATAGTTTGTTTTGTACCCATTAAGCCCATTAGGAGAATTAAACTGTACTCGTAAGTAGTCCTGGGCATTTGAAACCGGAACCGACGGATTACTTGAAAATCGAATCGGAAAAATGAATTCAGTTTGGTTTAAAAGGTTTTTGGTTTTTATTGTTTTGGTTTTTATATTAATCAAATAATTTTGGTTCGGTTTTGGTTTAATTTTTTAAAAATTAAAAACCAAAAATAAAATCAAAATTAGGATAAAATAGATAAAATATAATAAAATATGATAAAATATGTGATAAAATATAATTTATTATTAAAAAAATAATTGATTAATATTTATTTAATAAAAACCGAAACCAAACAGATTTCATTTATAAAAATCGGTAACCGAACCGATTAATTTACAAAAATTTCGGTTCGGTTTCGGTTCATAAAATTAAAACCGAATTTTTTCGGTTAATTCAAAATCGGTTTCGGTTTTAAACCGAAACCGGTTTTGCCCACCCCTACTCCATTCGTAAGTAAACAAGGAGAGTTCTGCAGATATCGCCAGAGGTCTCTTTTTTATTGTTGAAAATCGCCAGAACTCGTAAGTAAACGACTTTTGGATGCAAATTTCTCCTTTAACCCTAATCTAAATTTGGTAATAGGGAAGGTATTTTCTTCCCACGTGTGGAGTGATCATTGAATTTCTAGAGAAAATTTTTGTTAAGGAAAATACATGGCAGACTCCAATACTGGAGGCAGCGAAGAAAATGAAAACTGGAAATTCTTCCTTGCAGATTGTAAGTGTTAAACTTCATTTGTATGTCTTTGTTTCTTTTCGTAATATTGTATTTAAAAAAAAATTCTTTTTCATCCTTCCATAATTTCACTTTACTCTTTTGGATTTTGATTTTCGCAGTAGATCCAACTGATTTTAGTGTGGATGAATATCTCGAGAATCATCCTCCGGATCAAGAGACAACAGACCCTGAGCAAAGTCTACATCAAGGATTTGATCCACCTGCAGGCCCAAATGGATGTTTACCAGAACCGTCGATATATCAAGGGCCCAATCAGGCGGCCGCATCAACACAGCGGTCGATCGCACAACAACATTCAGGTCAATTGCCGGAAATATGCACTGGGAATCCTTCTCAAATACCAGAGTCTCTTCGCAAAAAAAGAGAGTACGATAGAAAATACAGAGAGAAACAAAAGGTAAAGATCTTAGATCTCTGTCTCTTTGCATTTGCACTTTATGACTTTGCTCTTGAACTTTTTTCATATATTGTATGGTACAGAAACAGAAGCAGGAACTTGTGGAAGGGAATGAAAGATTGGAGCGTGAGAAGCATGAATTTGAAGAGCAAATGAAGTCCAAACTGGATGCATTTGAGGCTGAAAATAGGAGATTGAAGCGTGAGAAGCTTGAGAAGCGTGAATTTGAAGAGCAAATGAAGTCCATTTTGGAGACTGGGTTTAAACATGTAGGGGATGAAGTCAACTCTCTTAGAAGAGACAATGCGACAGAACTGGCAAAGCTTGGAAATAAAGTTGATACATTGTTGGAGCTAAAGCAACAAAATGTAGTTCTGCCCTCTTGTTTCTCATCGGAAATTTTGATTTTGCTTTAATACTATTGTTACAAACTTATCAGGTTCGTTTTTGCAGCAGACAACAATAAGGAAGCGCAGGATGTTCCCAACCGAAGAGTTTTGGACACAGTCTCAAGAGGAAGGTACGGAAATTTTAGAAAATAACCTTTTGATTATAAATTTTTCGGTTCAATAAATTAATTTTGCACAATGTAATGCCGCAAACATTTCAATTCCTGAAATCTTCACTGCAGATTCTTTTAATTCAGCAAAAAAATTTCGCATCCGTCGCCGATCACAAATGCCTACCTACAAAAGAAAAGCATCTTCAGTTAAGCGGGAGGTAAAGATCTCTGTCTCTTTTTTTAGCCACGCAATGAATTGTTATAGCACACAAAAATAATGTCAATGTATTTGATTAGACCAAACATCAAAAAAATTTATTTAATTTAATCATTAAGAATAGTTAATTATTGTAATTGTTAGTTAATAACAAATAGAACATCTGAGATTTATTATTAAGAGTTTAAAATCAACCTATAAACTAATGTTTTCAAGTATTTTAACAATTATATAGCATGATAAAATCAGACAAACTAAACATAATTGCAGTTTTTTGTCAGCCATAACGTTTCCCCTCCTTTAGCATTTCAAGTAAATAGTGGTTGGGCTAAAAAGTTGCTTTATGGAGCTTTTTCAATTTGTTAACTGATTAATCTCTATTAACTAACCGTTATGCCCAACGAAAAATTCTACTTAACACTAAATACTTATGGTTGCTAGAAATATTTTACCAAACACTATTATATATTAGTTTAGATAAAACTGTTAGCTGTTAATCTCAAATCACTATAACCAATGCCAACAGCACCTTCATTTGCATTTCATGCGTTTGGTCTTGAATTTTAATGGGCTTTGCATATCAATCATAGTTAATAATTTTAACGAAATTTGTATTTGGGCATTGCACTACTGGATGATAGTATAATGAATAATGTAACAATTACACAAATTAGTAATCAGGCTCCAACAATAAGTATGCTTTTATTCACAGAATCTGGTTGAACAAACTGGTTTCCAGTTTCTTTAGCAAAGGCTATATGTATACTCATTGATAGGTGGTAGTGGAAAAGGTCGAGACTCTTTACATCCACAATGGTATTTGATATTGCACAATAAGTTTCCAAGTATGTGTCCAAGTGCTCTGTCTACCCAAAAATGTTGTCTTGCAAGACCACTAAACTTCTTCAAGCAAACTCAAAATTTGCAAAGAGAACTACAATTCTGCAAATACAAACATCCAAGCATGTAACCAAGTATTATTGCATCGACATAAAAAATCTAACTTTGGGAGCATGCTTAAAAAAAATATTCTAAACAAATCTGGTTTTCATTGAGTGCACTTGAGAAGCAATTAACTAAAAATCCATGCAACATCAACACAGCTGCTTGATCTTTAGCTCCTTCATGTTGTGCTGACACAATTAATAAAAATGATTCATCCACAATGTATGCTCTAAGATAAAGCAAGATGGTTTAACCAAACTAATTCATGAACTTCAAAAGGAAAAGCATGAAGCAATTTGAACCCAAGCTCAAAACCATGCAAATCATTTCAAATGGAAAGAAAGATAATGGTAGAAAAAATTAGGAAGAATAAAAGCAGGGTACTAGACTCTCAATTTTTCAAATTTAAAATTCATATTTAGAATTAAGAGATGTGAACCCAAATTATCAAGCAAGGCAAGAATCACTCAAACAAACCGTTCCAAACACAAAGCAAGATTAGGAAGAAAATCATAAAACATAGAAATAGAAAAGTATAGCACTTCGTCTCATTGCTCTAATATCAAATGAAGCTCATTTTCTTGGGTTCAGAGACAAAGCATATAAAAAAAATACCTCAAGCATAAAATGGCAGTAGTCCGTATTAGGTGGAAAAACCTCAACTTTAATACTCTTATGCATTGAAATTGAAATAAAAGAGGGAGCTTTAACGTAACCTTTTGAAAATTCTCCTTTCTTTTGTATGGTTTTCTCCTTTTATACCTTTCCTATAGCAATTTAAGATTACAACATGAAAGCATAAGGAGAAGCAATTATCAAGTAATAATAAAATGGCAGCCAGCTTCCTCCTAATACCAACCAAAGGTGTCCTATGTAGTAGCATTTGATATTATGGTTTGGGAAAAAAACTTCCATCAGAAAGATAAGAGAACCTCACCCCTAGCTGCAAAATTTGCCCTAAACGAACATAAAGATGGAATAATCATGGCTGCATGGAATAATCTTGAGACTACAGAAAAAGTGAAAGGTATTGAGTTGGTTTTTTTTTTTTTTTTTCCCCTTGAAAGCGACATGCAATAAGGAATTCGAGAAATTTGTTGGTGGAATTGGACTAATCAAAGGTGATAAGAGGAATTCAAACAATTTTGTGGTTTGATGGACTGTTGAAGAAATTGATTAATTTCATTCAATCATTGCATGTTGAAAAAGTTTGATTTATATTTTTATTGAGTTGGTTTTTTGATCCAAAGAAGAGATTGATTCTATTTTAGATCTAGAATTCTTCTAAAAGATGGTTTGGATTATGTAATAGATCTTAAAACACCATAATCTCTGAATTTCAAAGGATTGGATGTTTAATCACTTAATCTGATTATGAATGGATTCAATTTTTATGAAATTAGTTCTAATTTGTAGAATTATTTCTGCATTGAAATTTATGTATTTGCATTTTTGCATAGCCAAACAGGTTTTTGTTACCTTATTGAATGCATACCTTTAACTATTTGTGAACTCAATTTATTTAATTTATTTAAAAATTTTGGAAGCAATCAGGGCAGTAATTGGAGAATTGAGTTCAAGAATTGAGCTTGAACTTAGAATTTTGAGCTAGACTGGAATTGCACTTTGGACCTTCATTTGAGTCTATTTTCTTTACTGAAATTTTAGTTTCAAACAAGATATTTGAATTCGAGTTTGAGGTTGAACTCAGGCTTGACTGTTTCAATATCAAGCTGTAATTTTAATAAAATCTTTTAATATGAACCAGTTGTTCTGAAACCTAGCTTGAACTTGAAAACCAAGTTTGTTTACATAAAATGAATATGTTACAGGCCAAAAAAAAAAAAAAAATGAAGAATTATATCAACCCTTGAGTTTAGTTTGTCTATTTGATCAAAGATGGATTGCAAGCTTGATCTTTGCCCATCATGAGTGGCTCATCTCATTTTCACTAAGTAGCAGTTATCTCCACTCAAGTTCTAGATGCTCTGTATGCCTTTTGAAAAGTTGATATGGACTATTGTTTAGGTTTGGATTTGTTGATTTATGGGTACAAGGTTTTGAAACGATTAGGGGATGAAAGTTTAAACAAAGGAGAGGAAGCAAGAGGGAAGGCGGTGACGAAACATTGTGGTTGCCCCATGGTGGGGTAAATCCTCTCATTCTTAGAGAGAGAAGCTCATCTGGAGAGAGAGCTTAGCTGTTGTTTGTTGTTTGATATCAACTATTATTATGGTCGATGAACAAGTAGTCTAGTAGTAATCTTCTTTTCTGAAATAAATGTTCTAGATTTGAGTCACTAGATATGGGTGGCAATGTTTTTATTATGCTCTAAACTTTAAATGTTTGTATCATACTTTATGATGTTTTACTGTTATTTTTGCAAGGTAAAACAACATATACACTCACAAACAAACAACTTTAATGGAACTTTTATCTGTTTTGTGTTCAATTGCCTGGGCAGAGAAAGTCTGCAATGAAAAATCTGAAGGCTGGCTTCCAAAGGCTGAAAGCAGAGATGCAAGAGATCAGTAAGGAACAACAAAGCATTAAGGAAGCACAAAAACAAGTGAGAAAAAAATTTGAAGACATTGAAGCTGAATGTGCACAACTCAGGAAGGAGACGGACCTCATGATCAGGCAGAGTGCTGCGACTCGGCTTACGCTTGCTCTCATGTTCAGAATCCTTAGGGCCCGGGAAGATGGCAATTTGCTTGAGGCCACCCGGCTTACTCAATTGTTGCGGTTGGTTTTATTCCTCAATCCTCATCTTGTTCCTTCTGCTTTTCCATGCTAAAGTAAATAGAAATTCTGTTTGATATTTTCTCTTTTAACTTTTATCTATTTTGCAGCACAATATTGAGCAGGCAGAATGAGCAATGGAAGGGATCTATATGATGGACAAATACGGAACAAAGGTAGGGATCTATACGATGGACAAGGAATAATTGTCAACAGGATTAAGCTAGTTGTTATTATGTTCTATCTAGTGAAACCAGGTGCTGTGCTGTTCTGTTCTGGTTATCGTTAAAACTCTGTGTTTTTCATTTTAGGTTTTATTGTGTTGAATTGCAGACTTAATATATGTTGAACTTCATTTATGGTTGTCATGGTAGAATGATTTACTGTTTTAATCGCCAAGGAGAGCTATCTTTCCAGTACAGAATGTATGATACAGTCTACCTACTTAAAATGTAACTTAATTACGTCTCACTGGAATGAACTTCTCTCGAGCAACAATTCTCATCGTTTTCTTGGAAACACTACAAACCGCTCGCAAGGT